TCGTCACTTCCCGCAACCCGCCTTCCCCCCCCTTTGCGGACAAGTGAGGTATGCAACCAGTACAACCTCTTGAAGCATCAGACCCAATAAGCAAGTCCAGAAGCAATCCGATGCTTGGTGTTTCCTGACCACCAAAGACACTACGTAAAGGTTGTTTTTCTCCATTGTGACCTGATTGGTCGGAGAAGTTTGGGAAAACGGCAGAGGGGTGGTGCAAAATGAGACAAGCACCGGCGCCCAGATCATCCCCGTCTTCTTCTTCTTGCTGGCCTTCCTCTGGCAGGCATTTGAGTGCGGTCATCCAAGCCTATGGTCCATAAACGGGAGCAAAATGGGGCCTGAATGTCCCACAAAACCAGGGCCACGTTGATTTGCCACCAGCCCGTGTCCTCTAAGGCAACCAAGGGAGGGGATCCAACGGTGTTTTATTGCGTTTTGCATGCCTTTCACTGTGTTGCAATGATTGGCCAAAGCCACGACCGGCTTTGCAGGGCTTTCCCCACATTTGGGGGTAGGTAACCTCCCCCACACAAGGGTCTTTTCTATGGCCTTAAACTAACCATACAGAGGGTTCCTTAAAGAAAGACGCACCCATTTGGTGGAACGATGTGTGCGATGGCAAAGTGGCTACACGTGCCGCTGAGTTGAAGATGGTATGACTGGAGCATTGGACTTCTGTCAGCAAATTGGATGTGTCTTTTTTAGGGGCCGCCCCCACAACAGCAGGAGTTTGATTCCATCGAACCCACCAAAAAAAGGTACCCTCAAAGAAAATGACACCCCCAAAGAACCCAGAAGGAGGTCTTCGAACTCGAAGATCCAAGCCGAAACAAATTGGTTCTTCCACCCATTCCCAGCAATAGAGACTGGGAAGGATTTTGTGCGAAGCGCCGAAGAACCTGCTTATCTCGAAGATTCTTCCACATTTCAGGATAGACGAAATATGCAGCAGTATCTGAACATGTAGTTTGGTTGGTGATGCCCCATATCAGTTAACCATTACTTGGTGGTTTTTTCCTTCTGTTCTTTTTTTGAAGCCCTGGTTCTGGAGGGCTTCATGGGAAACCAACCCCCACACCTGCAAACCACCGGGCTGCCACACCACCCAGGGAAGCTGCAGAGTTCCTTTCAGAACCTCCGGGTTTGAAACATGTTGGAACCGCCCCAGAGGGATGGATGCGATGGAAGCCCTTCATCTTCGCGCGAGGCGGCAGTTGGCTTCCGATGAGCTCGCGCTCGAGCGGCCTGCTTGTGGCGGGGGTTCCGCTTCGCTTTTTGTGGACCTGAGCACTAAGAGTACTCAGGGCATCTGAGCGTGTGAAAGCGTGACATTCCGAAACAAGACAAACCGTTTTCCAGAGGTGGGCTTACCCATCTTAAGATTGCTTTTACGCCGGTGTACTTGCTTTGTGGTTCTTGAGCTTCTCAACGGCGGATACACGCAAGCATGGACACTCAGCGGCAGGGTGTCAACTTTTCCTGGTAGCTGCGAAGCTGACACGACTGGCTCGGAAAACGAGAGGATGAGTGTTGGCTGGTTCCGGAGGCTCCCTTCAAAGGGAGATCATGGGGAAACGACCCAAACGGGGCTTCCCAGATTTCGCGACCCTCGGTTTCTCTTTTCAAGCCATATGAACCCCGAAACCCGACGCTTCCAATCCATAGCCCGCCCTAAACCTTAAAACGTGGACCATCGCTTGGGTCGTTCTGCCACGGGTGGAGATCTGCACGAGTCAAGCTTAGTGGGTTGTTCGGGGACTCACCCCAGTTGCCTCAGTTATTCATATTGGTTATCACCTTGGGTTGCTTGAATGCAAACACAAATCCGCCCCTCAGAATGAGTTTGGGCAACTGGGGGACCTGAAAAGGGTTTGATTCCGTTTCACTCTTTGGATTAAAATTGCGGCTCCTTGGTAAGAGAAAGACGACCCGATAAAGTGACCACGTGGCTATGGATTCAAGGATGCTCAACCAAACAAATGACGTCACCATTTTGTAGATTTACAGGGAAGCCACAAGAAACCTCACAAGGTTGGTGAGGGTGTCCGTAGGTGAGACCCTTTCGCTTGAAAAGCGGCTGTGAGTGAATGAGCAACAGCCACTGCCGAATTTTCTCGTGTTCATCCGAGCAAGACCTTGGGCTCTACGTAGGCAACCTACTGCGGATGGACACCATCCACTTCGCGCAAGTTGGTAGGTGGTTGACCCCCAGCATCTATAGGGGCTTATCCATCCCAATTGGTGCAGGATTTCGTCATTCCACAGTACAAGTTCTGAGAGTTACAGCAAGCCAGCTTCATCCGAATTCGTGTGAATCCCTTGTGCCATTCTTTCGCCCTCTTGGAGGTCGTGGATTCTTTATCCATCTTACCGCGGACTACTTTTTGTACGGATGGGATGGTGCGACTGCGTTGTTTGCCCGTGGTTTTCGCTTTCAGGTCTCTGTATGTATTACATTGTGATTGTGACTCACATGGGGGCCCCATTTATCCTTTTCTTGCCGGCTTTGGATGACGGAACAGGTTTTTCTTTTTTTGTTAGTAGCCCCGGCTGGTGGCTGAACAGTCAGGTTGGTTGGTTGGTTGGTTGGTTGGTTGGTTTTTCAAACCCACCCAACAGCATCCTGGATATCAGCCCTTTTCCAGGGTCAATGAAGCCCCAACAAGCCCAAGACCAGACCCCCCTACCGCCCGAAGCCAGCCCCGAGAAACTCTCAACTGCCACCAAATCACAGCCAATAGGCATGCGGCCCAGTGACAAGGCCCCCACAGAACCAAGGGTTCCAGCCAGCCTGTTTACAGGCACAGGGAGGCCTTGTGCTGAGCCGCTAGAAAAAACGCGGGGCGAGTAAAAAGAACACCTCAACTTTGGGTGACGCCACATCCCACAGCTTCCTCGGCCAATGCTGTCGGACCGTGTGCCTCAATGTTTTTGGCCGATGCCAGGCGGAAGGGAAAACCATCCAAGGGTCCCTCTTTGAGGCCGAAACGGGCCCCTTATCTTGAGACAGTGCCCATATAGGTATTGGGAAGTTTAAGCACGTGGTAGTTTATTTTTTTTTGGCATGCCATCCCCAGGGTAGGAACTAGGGGAAAGACCACGGAGCTGGACAATCCGGCTTCGTCTCCAAAAAAAGGGATCGCCAAGAATGCTTGGATTCCTTCTAGTTTCCCTCCCCCAAAAAGGGGCTTCTCCTCAAACCGGACACAAGAGGACACAACCCTTGAACATGGCTCGGGGCAGTCAACCTCTTGCCGCTTCGTGGCTCCAGTCCGTGCCACTCGCAATTGGGAGCGACAGCCACCGAACGCCTCACCATGGCCCGCGTCTGGGCCGAATGGGTGCCGTCAAAAGGTCCGGATTGCCCATTTCTAGAATTTCCAAGACCGACTCTCTAATATTCGCGCAGCCTGCCTCAGCCAGTATCAGCCGAAGTCTTGTCGTTGGCTTTGAAGTGTTGTGGTTTAATTTTCCTTGAAGTGCCATGTTTTCTGAGTGACTGAGTCGGCGCCAAAATGCGTGAGCTGGTTTCCAAGATGTACGGTGGATGCATGCTCACGCGTTTCTACATCTTAGTCTTCACGTTTGCTTGAAACACGGCAGCGTGGCGTTTTGGCTTCGGAGCAATGCAAGAGCGAAGCTTTGTGGAAGCGAATGGTGTTGCGTAGCAGCGCAGAGGCAATCGTCATAGTCAACCCGCTCCAGGTATTCAAGGGCTGGGCTGAGGCTGGGGCTGGGGCTACCGAAGTTGCTTCAGGGCCACAGCGCTCCAAGCTGGGTACAAGGGGTTAGGAGCTCGGGAGAGTCCAAGGGCAGTGGGCTGGGGAGGCTTGGGCTGAGGGCCCAAGGGCAAATATGGCGCTCGCTTCATGGGCAGCTGGGGCGCGAATTTGGTCGGAGGGATGGGGCTTTTGAACAAATTGTGTGCTTGGATTATTCTTGAGGAACCGGACAACCCAAGTATTTAGGCACTCACAGTGGGAGTAAGTGTTAACCGTGACTCTTCAACAACCCAGAAGGAAAGGAGTAAGGGACAAGTTGTGTAGGGGCACTGTTTTGAATGGTGTCCCAAGTGAAAGTAAGAGGACATCAACCAATTTCAAGAGACACGCCTATTTCAGGAAAGTACCAGCTATGCCCTACGTCGGCTGATTTGCTGAGGCTCCTCCGGACTCCTGGTGCTCCTGGCCGCCCTGGCGGCGCTGTGCCTGTTGCAGAACGCCTTTGTGAGCCCCTCCGAGGGCAAGACCACCCTGCGCGGGGAGGCGAGGGGGGCCGGACGCTGCCGGTTTGATAGGCAAGAAAGCGTTGGAATGAACCCGAACTGATTCATCTAAGCGTGGCTTCCTTGAAAATCCCAAGGTCCCTTCTTTCCCAAAAATGGATTCCCTGAGAACCAGCAAGTTTTTATATATATATATATATTTTGGAAGAAGCACACTGGGGCAATCCGTGTTTGGCCGTGACTTTCTATCGAGTGGACATGGTGATGGCTCTGATCGACCGAAGCACTGGACGACGAAGCCGCGCAGGGTTTCTGCTCAACGATCTTCCCAACTCAGATCTCACCTCATCCCTCTGCGCCAGCGAAACGCGCCATGCCGAGCGTTTGGCTGCTATTTCTCTGGGGCGTTGATGCAAATAATGTGCCGACGACCGCGGAGACCGCTACGACCACGCCAAGTGGGTGTTGCGCCTCGTTCTTCTTTGGGGGACCCGGGTATGGGTATGTGTGTTGAGTTGACTCTCCAGCATGCTGGGTTGTTTTTTGGCTTTTCTTTAAACCAAAAAGGGGTTCTCCCCGCTCAGACACACATATTGATCCAGACCTGCAGTGCTTCCACTTCCTTGTTTTGGAGCATTTTTTTGAGGACCCCCCGCAACAAAGGGTGTCCTTCTCCCTACGGCGGACTTTGTGTCGGAGCGATTTCAAGCATGACAATGGATGATGATTTTGTCTCCTTTTTCTTTTGATGACATCGCACGGTGGGCGTTCCCTAAATGGACGCGTCGTTTTGGGGGTTATTTTGAAGGTAGAGCGAAGGGAAAGCCACAATTTTGAAGGTCCGCATCTAGGTCTGCCTTTGATTAGTTTGGTTGGAGGTCTCAAGAGACTGCTGAGACAAGTCAAAGGGAAGAACCCGCGAAATGGGGTACCCGGACCATGGTTGTGGGAAATGGGGCTTCAAGGGCATTTTCTGTGATAAGGGAATGGCCTTCAAAGTGAACAGTTTTCACGGGGGTGCCCCTTGTTGGTATTACAGAAAGGTTCATGTCCCACGGACAGCGGGCGGGGGGGACCAAACTTCTAGTGAGAAGGTCTTCGGTGCAACCCTGTCTCAACTTCAACGCAGCATCGCCGGGTTGGAACCCTCGAAACGGCTTGCCGCGGCTATCGCCACTCGCCTTGAAGTGAGTTGAGTTGATTTTTGTGTGCGGAGTGAGTTGGTTTGAGGTTTGAGCCCCTTCTTGTAGAGGGTAAATGGGAAACCCCTCCACCAAATTCAACCAATCCAAACCACTAATTAGTGGGAAGCTGATCAACTAGATTTCCAAAGACCGCCATCACTTTTGTTCGCCAGAGCTGCCCCAACCGTTCAAGCTGCCCCCCCCACCAGAGATACAGCCCTCCCAAGCCCATGTGTTCAGCCCCTTAAAATTCCTTTTTGTTTGGTGGGGACAAGGGGCATCCACTCAAATTCAGCAAATTGACCAAGAAAGGAACAACTATGCTTCACGCAGTATCCCCTCAGTAGAATGAGGACTGAACTGGGCTCGATTTGTTTACACCCAACAGAGCAGTGCCCAACACTCCCACTGGCCATTTAAGTAGATGGTTGTACTACCTGGCGTTATGGTGGTTGTAGCAACACCTAAGCCCGAAACATGTTGGTAGAAGCAAACGTCAGTTCAACTCCCTGCTCAAACTGTATCCTTGTGGTTTTGCTGAAAGGGGACCAAATCGGGTCTGGTTCTTTAAACCAAGTTCACAACCAGGGGGACAGTTGCTCAGTCAGTGACACCCGAAACATCCCTTGTACTTTGGTTCACTCAACATGTCGGGGGAGTCTAAGAAGCCAGCCCTTGTTCTTGCTTTTGATAGGTATTTGGAAATCCAATGTCCAGTGAGAACCGCTGTAGCTTCTTTTCAGTTCCCCGACCAGCAAGCACGGGGAGTCTGTAGAACTCCAGGCCTCCGCTAAAACAGTGACTCCCTCTAAATTGCTTGTCTAAAATCCCTCTAAACCATGTTTTTCTTTGATGTTTATTGGTTCACTCCAATCCCTCCAACCATCTTGTTTTGGTGAACCAAGCATGGTGAACTCACCGAGGCCAATACACGGAGCTGG